AGGTGAAATTAGAGTTTATATTTGTCGTACAGACTTCATGACATGTGTGCATGGTGAATCTAAATGCTGTAGATATCTTGGTTAGTTGAAAAGTATGATATATTAACTGGTGGTAGAAGACCTGACTGGTATAGTACCGGCGATCACGGTCTGAGGCTGACGTAGGAGCACGGTCACAATACCTATTATATTATATAGTGTCTATTGTAAGGACATATTAAATAGAAAATAAGGAGTTCAATTTATGAGGGAACTTGTTATTGGAAATGACTACATACAAGTACTTCCTAATGCATGTAGTTTACCGCAGTATTATATTGATAAACAAAAAAAAATATGTGTATCTAGAAAATAAAATGAATGCTAAATTTTTTAGTTTTAAAATGAACAATAATCGTAAATTTTCTTGAAGCAAGAATTTTAGCAAGTTTTTGTCTAATTTTGTTTTTAAGTGTCGCGAACCGTACAACAAGTTATGAAAATTTAGTTGTGAAGTGTATATTGGTAAAATGAACCAGTCAATCTAATTCTTACAAAGAATCTGATGCTGGCTAGTTCAATAAAGGTGAATATGAGAAATATTTTACAATTGGATGAATAACAGCCTACCGATTTCGGTTTCTGTATATCACACGAGATAGTTATATAAATTTCCATAGCATTGTCAAGCTTCAATAATGATGCTCAATAATAATAATATTCAAGAGTAAGTTATAGTTTAATAAATATTCGTGAATTTATATAAAAAACTCTGGAAATTTATTGATCTTTCGTCGTTCAATTTATTTTATCCTGTTTTACGCAAATCGCAAGCATCAAACAAAGTCTAGTATAATATTGTATTCACATTTGTTAGGAAAAAAAATCTTACATAAACATTATTATGTGATGATATTCCTCAGACGACGAGTCTTCACGAATATCTTGGTTTTTCATAGTGTAGGATTTTCGTTTATGCATATAATATAAAATAATAGTAACTAATATTTTAAATATGTTTCAAAAGGATAAAAACTTGTAATTATTAGCCTTTATATTTATTAATAATATTCTTAACACCTTCTTTTATTATATGTTGTTAACTGGTTTCTTCTTATGTTTAAAATGTTTATAAAATATATGTATATATAGGTTAATCAAGCATTCTTCTGAATAACCTATTAATCATCCCTTGTTTTTGTAATAAAAGATCTTAGCCTCACAAACGTTGCACATAAACCGTTTAGGCTGATGATCCGTGTTTTTTCTCACATATTTCTTGTATATTTTTATATAAAAATTATTCAACTTGTGTTCTTTGTAAAGCTCACTTTTGTTTTACATTTTAAACAATTGAATTAAAATGGTTGAACAATTGTTGGTATAATTTTTTAAAAATGGAAGTAAAAATAATATTACTTTTTATGGTTGATTTTGCTACTTTAATTGGTAATAAATGCTATATGTTTAGATAAACTCTTGTCATAATGGTTTTCTGGTTTATTATATATATTCATTCGTATTGAGAAGTTCACACAATGTTGTTGTTTTAATGTGACACACTGTAATTAATTAGAGATATTGAATAAATAAATCTATTTATTAAAATAGAAATTTTTTGGTTTGTAATAAACAAAAAAATATTTAACAGCTGATTTATGTTACATATTTTAATATCTATGACAAGATATAATATGTTTTTGTTTGCATATCGAAAAGAATTTGAATTAAAAAAGTAATGTAGAAATGATATTACTTATTCTAATACTTGTAGTAACTGCATAATAAAGATAATTTAATTTTGATATGCTTAATGTTTATACCAAATTAGTAACCTGTGCTTTGTATTTATGATGAATATAAATGATGTATATTTAACGCTTATTCTAAATTTCTATATTTTAAGTGCCAATAATATAGTCCGATTTATTCTCATTTTAGATTGAAATGCCTTTCTTCGCTGTAAAAAGGAGATTAGGTTAAAAGGTTTTTTAAGATATTTACATTAATTTCTGGTCAATTAACAAATTAAATCAGCATGTGTATTGTAATACCATTGTTAGCGTTAAAAACGTAGTAATATAACTACAAAAGGAAAATTTATGTGAAAAGCGAATTGTAAGATAAACTAAATGTGTTACAAAAATCGAATTGATGCGTATATTAAATTAGTCATTAAAGCCAAAAAATCATTCCGGCTGTAAAAAAAACATTTTCTTATTACAATAAAATGAAACTATAAATACTCTGAATATAAATAGACTTAAAGTTTTCAAAATATTCATATTTATTTAGAGAACTATAAAAAGTGTTTTTAAAACTCTTCATAATCATTAAATTCACATCCTTTATATATTTTATTTTGATAGGGTAAATAATCTATCACAAATAAAAATATTTCATCTAAATTAAATGTTTTAATTATAATAAATGTTTATTAAATCTTTTAGGTTTATTTTTCATTTAAAATATAATGATTTAATTTGTTTAAATTATTAATCTTTAAAATCTACTATTCAAAAATATAAAATTAATTATGGATTTAATTACAAATGTCAAAGGCTTCATTTGTTGGCTGTGAAAGAAACAAAGATTCTTTTAACCTGTTTGTTTCTATAAATAATAATTTTTACTAAATTACACTGTTATATAAAAATTTCCTTCACCATTCCCTCTATAATTCTAAAAGAAGCCAATATGATAGAATGTGTATACACAAAAGACAAACTAAAAAAAGGAAAATCATGGAAAGACGGATACTTAAAATACAGCAACAAAAAGTTTTTTCTTTACGACGAAAGAGAAGAAGCAAATTTATTCGTTTGTGTACAAGAATTTCGATGAAGAAATGAATACACCCGGATATTTGATATTTTGCGAGAATATTAGCCAGTTATTGGATGGTGAGAATGAACATTTGGATGAATCAGAAGAAGACGAGCAAGCCAAAGTCAAAAATAGTAAAAATTCCGAGTTTGATAGAGAAAGCTCGAACCAGTATGAAAAAAATAAGGTAGAAAGAAATTCAGATCAGCGATATGTAAAAAAACAATGTGTGAGCAGAAATGTGGTTTACAACACACCAGTAAACTATAAAAAGCCAGTAGTGATTGATCAAGATAAATTGAAGAATGGTAACATATTTAATGATAATAGTGAAAAGAGAAAAATGAAAGCTGTCAAAGGGAGAACAAATGAGGAAATTCTTGATATAGTAAGAGGTTTTTTGTAACAAATAAATGAAAATTTACTGATTAGGAAGCTTTGTAAAATTTATCTATGTATATATTAACATGTACTTACTAATTAAAAAAACTAATAACGAAAAAAAAATTCGATTTTTAAATTTTTCTTCCCAATTTTTTAAGATAACTTAATTTATTAATATAATATCTCATACATCTTCAACGTATGGAATAAAATCCTTTTTCATATACCCTTTCAATACATCTGGCACTTCAATACCGCTATCTGTCTGATAATTTTCTACGATGCAACATAATGCTCTTTGAATTGCGGCAACTGTGCAATTAAGCATATGAGGAAATTTTTTCTGATGGCTGACTCGAACATTCAAATCTCGTGATTGGTAATCTGTGCAATTTGAACAGCTAACCAGCTCTCTAAAGCGATCAGAATGTGGGAAATAAGCTTCCAGGTCATATTTGATAGCAGCAGCATCATTAAGTTCACCGCTTACAATAGAAACCACATTATAAGAAATGTCCAAAGATTTGTAAAAGTCCATCGCATTTTTTATCATTTCGGAAAAATATGAATCTGACTCATCGTCCTGGCAAATCACAAGCTGTTCGATTTTTTCAAATTGGTGGATTCTGAAAATTCCGTGGTTGTCTTTTCCATGTGCGCCGGCCTCTTTTCTAAAGCACAAGCTTTGTCCAACAAATTTAACTGGTGTTTTGCAAATTTCATCAGAATAATACGCAGTTAGCGGTTGCTCGCTGGTTGCAATTAAAAAATACTCATCTCCCATGCTGTAAAGTTGGTCGTCAAAATCAGATAGCTGTGCTGTTTTTGCCATTACGTCTTTCTGGATAAAAACCGGTGTTTGCATCAAATTATAGCCTCTTTCCATCATAAAATCGATCGCATATCGTGATAAAGACATTCCGAGAAGTGCAATATCATTTTGTAGAAAATATCCGCGATGACCACTTATTTTTGTGCCTCTCGCTGTGTCACAACCATTCACTTTTTGCATGATTACATTAAAAGGCAGAGTTTTGTTGAGTTTTCTCTCTGATCTATAACGATAAACAAGCGCGTTATCATCTTCGTTCTTTGATATCGGAACAGAAGGTTTTAAGATGTTGCCAATCGATTTCAGTTGGCTTTGTATGGTTTTTTCCATTAGTTTGAGTTCTTCCTGCTTTTTTTCCTTGTCTAATTTAATTTTTGCTCGCTCGGAAACAAGATCACATGATTCCAAATTTAAATTAGCAACCAGTTCGTTTAATTCTGCATCTTCTTCTGTATTTTGGCTATCTAAATCATTATTTGAACTGTTATTTCCATCGCTTTGTATGTTTTTTTTCTCTTTCTTCTTCATTTTTTTGATTGCCGTTTGCAAAGTATTAAGCTTTTTATTTAATTGATCAACTGTATATCTCAGTTTTTTCCATTCACAGTCCATATTAAATAAAGTTTCTACCTTTGTAGGATCCCTGAAGCGGGCTTTTTCGCTTGCTGCAACCGCTTCCTTTTCATTTCTAATTAGTTCAATATCGATCATTGCTGCTTATACAGGGTTTTTATTTAATTTTTATAAGAAAAAAAATTTAATTATACCGTAGTAAAATTAATAAATTATCGAAACGGATGTGTAATTCGTTCGTAACGGTTACATCAGCATTTATTTGGTATAATATTTTTAAATTTATGTTTTTTCGAATTTGCGGAAACATATTTTTTTTGAGCAAAAAATGATGAAAGACCAAGAGCACTTGCGAAACAAAATAAATTCAAATGTTATTTAATTAGTCCCCATATTTGCTTTAAAATGGAGACTACGGGGATTGAACCCGTGACCTTTTACTTGCGAAGCAAACGCTCTACCGCTGAGCTAAACCCCCTTTGATATTTATTTTATGTTATATAATAATCTTAAATTATCATCTAATATTATAAATTTCAAAAAATAGTGTAACATCCACATACGCAACATTTTATCTTAATTTTGTATATGAACAGTTGCACAGCCACTATCTTTTTTTATTTTTCATTTTTCTTCGTTAAAATAATAGCTTGCTCATTCCGAAACATGGCATTGCACTATAGTGAAAATAACTATTTTTAAATAAGATATTTTATCCTGCGAACAAATATAATCTGATATATAAAATCTCTTTTGATTCGTAAGAATGGTCTAAAGTTAATGATCGATATGAATATGTAATGTACATGAATAAAAAATGTTGCTAAATAATTAGAATAGCTTAAGGGCAGAAATATTTTTATCAATTCAATCAATATCATAAAGTTAAATAATATTATATTTTTTATTTGAAATCTCTACTAACAATATCTTGTTTTTGACAAACTGTTAAAAATTTTGCGAAAATTTATTTTTTTTATAATTCGCGATTTTTTTAAAAATAAACATAGTATAACTATATGAATTTTAAATGTTTCTTTATCGCTGTTTTTATAGGCTTTCAGAACATTTGATAAGATTTTTTAAAAATTGATAAGATTATAATAAAATGCGCAATATACTATAATAGAATATGAATATTTATAACACGCTAGGCTATATAGCAAAAAAACATTAGAGTTATTAATTGTTGAAATAGGAAAATATCGATTTAAATACTAAGTACCTTATGAATTATAGATTTTATATAATTAGTATCTCTAACATTAATGTTTTATTCGATAAATGGTAGTTAAAACTTATAAAAAAGACGGAGCATGAATAAAAAATTGTTTTTAACACATTCTGAAGCTAAAGACTCTGGTAAACCATAAAAAGTAAGATTTGAAATGAAAAAATTGCGTTCTGATTGCAAAAAAAAACTTGAAATCAAAAATATAATATTATTATTAAGAAAAAACATATCCATTGTAACTTCACTCGGTTCCTCCTACCTTGCCGCAGTTACAATTTTCGGTGGAACAATTAGAAAAAAAATCAATAAAAACGTTTTTTGATATGAGTAAAACGGAATTTATTTTATATATAATTCTTGTTTTTCTGGTACTGAAAGTTAGTAAAGGAAAATATTTAAAATCAAACTCTTAAGTAAGGAAGTTAATAAGAGCAGTAGAAGTTTCACTTAAAGCGCTTTCTATTCTATAATTCTGTATTAACTTCTACACACATCAAAACAATAATGATACAATTGAAAAAAAATGAATTGCATAAGATAAATCCCTAAAATACAAAATTTCCTTTATACACAATTTATTTTATACTAAAAGATAATCACAGCTGTTATTACAGCTTAAAAAACCTATATTTGACTTAATTAAATTTGTAACCTATGTAAATATCTTTTTAGGGTAAAAAAATTTCTTGCTGCATCAATTCAATTGTAAAATTTTAACAAGAAATATACAAAAAAAAGCATTATCTTACATTATGTTTTATGAATTTTTCTTTATTATATCTTTTGAAATGCTAAATTTTTTGATTGTAAAATAAACAATTATCTGCAAAAACTAAAATTTAGTTATACAAAATCACGCCTTAAAACAAAATGAATTTTTTATTTTAAATTTTTTGATCTTTTTCAGCTGCTTTTTTAAAAATTTTTTTTACGGTATTTAAAAATCAAGATAACATATTTAATAAAAATTAAATTTAATAATGCTATTACGATCAAACATGTAATAACATAATTAAAGTTATTTAAAGAAAAATCGTTAAGGCTACTTGCGAAGGCTCGATAATGAGCAAATTGGTTTAAAAATAAAAAATGTTCTTTTTGTTAGACCATATGATAATTTAGTAAGTTTTTCTGGGTTTTTTTCTCAAATAAATTGTCTTTTTCTTGTAATTTTTCTGTGTCTCATCTTAATTTATATACAAAATTATTTAAAATAACATATTTCACACATATGTAAATTATTCTATCAATATTCACATTAAACATAAAAAATCAAATTATAATAAAATTAAAAGGTTTGATTAAAAAAATAATGATAACAGAAAAAAATTATAACTTTTTTTTATTGATTTATAATAATTTTCATGTTTAATGATTCTAAATAGTGTTAACATGTTTTTTTAATGTGAAAATAGGGATTCTTTACGAAAAAAAAATCAAATAAAAGCGTTAGAGTATTAGGTCTTATTATATTATCAATCAGAGCGCTTTAAAAGTAGTTAATTTCAAGGTTGTGTTTTTTACTTATATTTCTTTTTGGCATGAAGATAAATAAAAATCTGTATTACTACCTTTTCGGAACAAATTTTAACAACAATAACTGTGCATCTATAATGATTTTGTTAAAATTTAACTTATAAAGGGCAATTTCTTCAAATAACTAATTAAAATTTTTCAAACAAAAATGTTTCTAAGAGGCAATAGATTACCAATACACTTTAAATTTTTATTTTTCATTTGTTAAATTAAAATTCATACTAATCGTAGTGTTTAGTATAAACTTACACAAATACATGTGTTTTTTTAATAAAACTGTTTGTACTATAATTTTAACGCAGAAATAGTATTTTGAGGGTGTTTCATTGGTGTTTGTGTATATAAAGCGGTGTAAATTTTGACATTTTGGACAAACAATGTTGAGAATATAAATTTTTAAAATCGATATATATGAATGCTTGTTCACACAAATTCTTTTTGATGTGTTATAAATTTTTTTATTACTCTTTTATATAAAACTTTCAATACATACAAAATTTTCTTGAATTTTCATAAAGCATGAATTTTGTTTGAAATCATTTATATTGAAAAATATATTTTTAGACAGATGTTTTTAATATTATCACGCTTAAGCATGTTGCTTTTCAGTAGTTTGAAAAAAACTACAAATATATACATTTAAGATGTTTTATTCGTTTTAAACTATATTAAAATTCCATCGAACCGCAATTAAATATGTGAGGATGGAACAAATGCTTCAATTCAGTGAATACATTTCAGAAATTAGCAATCACATACCTAGAACCTATTAAATTACCTAAAAATACTATCAAATGAATTCTCCAGATATAAGATTGTGTGGTAAAAATCGTATCAGATTCTCGTAATTTACAAAACAGATAATACAATCTATATAATTCAAATGTCGGTTTCTTGTGGAACTATATTATATTTCAAGTCAATCCATACTATACTCTAAAATATCAAATATTTGTTACTATTAAATAAAAAATGTTTATAAATATCTTTACTACGTATTTTTATACAAAAAATGTTTTTTTGTTAAATTTTTATCTATTTTCAAAGATATTTTTTGCTTTTTACTCAAATATTTTTATTCACCAATTGGCCTTTTTTTCTAACCACTGTAAAACCTTATTTATATTCTTGATTAAAATTAGTTTTACGGAAATTGTCGGCTTTCAATTAGTACTATCTTTTACTTAAGCAATGTGGAACTGCCACAAATATACATTAATTTTTTAATAAAGAAACACAATGAGTAAAATCGTCTTTATAATGCAGTTAATATAATAATATTATAATGTGATACTAATTTTTGTTGTCACAGCAGATACGATTATTTTTAAAATGTGTAATAAACTTAAAAATTCTAAACTTATTATGCTCTAAAACAAAGATCAATCATAATTTATAATCAAGAAAATAATGAAAGTTATTTTTATTGGTGGTTGTTATTTTGTTCAGTTTATGTGGAAACGTTTATTTTTGCTATCTATGTATTTTATGAAACTTTCGATATTTCAAAAATCACATAATTCACAATATCTCTATATAATAATCACATATATATAAATCCATACATATATTAATATATTTACCATAAAAAAAAGAAAGTAAAAATTTTCTTCATTTTTAATGAGAACTACAAATTTCATATTAGATGATAATTTATCCTATATCAATCGTCTAAATAACAATTAGATTTTTATTTCCAATACTTTAAGAAGAAAGCAATCAACACAAATTTTTAGTTACAAATCTTCTTGAAAACAGCTTATAAAATACAGCGCCAATAATTTTGATTTTTTAGAATTTTTTGCTTTTTCATACTTTTGTTTAATTTTGTAAGATTATAATTACATTTTCGTTGAAATGAACGCGATGATTTTAATTTTTGTTATTTAATATTAATGTTTCGTTTTTATTTGTTGCTTTATGATGAAAAAAATTTTTAAAAAATTCCTTTTCTAATAAATATAATTTTAGTGCTATTGATCGCTTAAATTTTTAATAAATAACAAAGAACATTGACGTGAAATTGGAACGAAGTGCTTTCTACAAAAAATATTTAAACGAATATCATAAAAATATGAAAGATTATAATAATGCATATCAAAAAAGATGATAATTTGCTCTACAATCTAGTATTTAAATTGCCATATAAATATAAATTGTCTTTCTACGCGTGACGTTTCTCATCGTTACTTTGATGTCATAATTTTTTTCCTTCTCCATTTTTAACTTTGTAATTACTTATTGCATTAGAAGTAGCAGCACAGTGTTCATAGTGAATTTCTTTGTTCTACAATCTTTTATTGTTTTATGTTACACATTGAATTTATTTTGTAACCAAAATACAGACTTGATCACAATATTTAAGCAACACTAACATTGGATATATTTATGTAATATAACAATACAATAATGGGTGGAAAAATGAGATGTCTGGACACAAAACCGCAAATTTTTTGCGTATTATATACCATTTATAATATAGATTAAGATTTCGTACACACCAAATTTGTAATTAAAAATACTAATTTTTCTAATCAATAATTCTTCTCAATCTTTTTATATTATTTGTGATTCTTTAGAAATCAAAATTTTGAGAAATCTTAGTACAGAATGTAATATCTAGTTCTTGATTTATAACAATTTGTTTTCATTAATAACTTATCTTCGCAACACAAAAAAATCAATTATTTATATCATCTACATCTTCA